GATCTTTCAAGGTCCCTTCCAGTTCTAGGAGATAGGATATCTCCAATAATAAATTAATGGCTATTTTCCAGAGTTTGCTTTTTTTTAAATTATTCACAAGTTATGTTAATCATAGGTCTCATTAGTATGATACAGCTATTTTAGGGGAAGTGTGACTCTAAGAGCATCCCAAGTGCAAGAGGTTCACTGGTGTCAGGTAGTGAGTTTCAACTGGCCGGACTAGTTCATTGTACCCCAATTCACTTATGTTATAATCTGTATCTAATAAGCATCATGCAAGGTATCATTGGAAAACCAATATAGAACAGCTTCCATATGTGGAGTGATTACAAAGACTGGGACTGTTCAGCTTGGAAAAGAGAAGGCTAAGGGGGAATATGATAGAGGTCTATAAAATCATGAACAGTATGGAAAAAGTGAATAAGGAAGTGTTGTTTACCCCTCCACATAACACATGAACCAGGGGTCACCTAATGAAAATAACAGTCAGCAAGTTTAAAACTAACATAAGGAAGTACTTCTTCACACAACGCACAGTGAACCTGCAGAACTCCTTGCCAGGGGATCCTGTAAAGTCCAGAAGTATAACAGGACTCAAATAAGAATTAGATAAATTCACGGAAATGGCTATTAGTCAAGATGGTCAGGGACGCAATACTATGCTTTGGGTACCTCTAGAAGCTGGGACTGGACAACAGGGGATGGATCATCTAATAAAGTGTCCTGTTCTGTTTACTCCCATGGAAGCATCTGGCACCGGCCATTGGTCTGACTCAGTATGGTCATTCTTATGTGTTTGAACCAGACAAATCTGGGGAGTGGGTAAACAGCTTTTTTTCCAGACAAAGGAAAGGCTGATGCCTTCATCCAGGTGCAATCACAGACAACTGGCAATCACAGTCAAGAGGACATTCATTGACATATTGGAGGCTGCAGGGGCAAATCAATTTGCATTATAGAAAGCAACAGCAGGGAAGAAACCAGCATAGAACCATCTCCATCAGACTCCATGGCACCTTTCCTCACAACTGTGCCACTGGACATTGAGAATACATTTCAAAAGTTCATTGGACCATAAAACAGGGGCAGAGAACCCCAAGTTATCTTTCACTGAAGATGACAAAGGAACTGAGCACTTTGTGGGAGATCCTGATCACAGCAGGGGTCAGTCATCTTGGTCAAAGGAAGTGTGGTAAAAATCTTACCGTGACCCAATACTGTAGTTTTGTTTAGTCTTAGTCACTAGAAAGTTTTTCACTTTTATATGTTTGTAACCATTTCTGACTTTACCCCTTATACCTGAACTCACTTAAAATCTCTTTTTGATGAAGTAAACTTATTTTACTTTTACTCTAAATCAACCCAGTGCTGTGTTTAACTTGAAGTGATTATTATTTCCAATTAAAACAACAAGCTGCTGTGCTTTTGTCTCCTTAAAGGAGCAATTGACCTTATTACTCCTCTAAATGTTCCAGGAGAGTGCTGGACATTTCAGGACAGATGGTTTGGGGAAATTCAGGACTGGGAGTGTGTTGGGGTCACTTGGCTAGTAATAACCAAAGCTGGTGGAGACCAGAGTGCAGCAGTGGTGTAACAAACAGGCTGCTGGAGTCAGATTTGCTAAATTTAGGTTGCTCAACACAGACACTCAGTGGATGCTTGTCTGCTAGCTGGGAGCATCCGGACAAGGAGCTACAGCAGCAGAGCATTTTAAGGCACGCAGGACAAGTGGTGATACAATCTCTCACAGATGTGGGTTGAACCCTAAAATATGACAGGGAGCAGGAGAAATAAAAGCCACATCATTTTTGCAGGATCCATTTTAACCTGGTACATCATTTTTGCTATTTGTGTATTCTTGTAAATAGGTCATTTTTGTCTTCTAGCTATTTTCAACCATTCTTCAGAACCAAGAGCAACATAGCAGAAGTGAGATAACAATAATGTAAGCTCACTTAGCAAAACTGTTCAAATGGAAACAAAATTGTATAGATTTTATGGTGTTCCGTGATATTTTGCTGAGAGGATGGCACAATTTGTCTCAACTTTGTAACTGGTTCAGAGTGATGACAAAGATAGATGGCTGACAGACAACAAGACAATTTATCTTTCAAAAACCTTTACCAATCTCACAAAAGATTACACCTGTCTCACTTCAGCATGATCTGCCATCTGTTCCTTTAAAGAGATAAGTGCTTAAACTTCAAGGTTCAGTTATTAGAAGTATCTTTTGAGAACAAATAAGAGTTTTATACACAGCAAATTCATTTACTGCTTTGTTAAGGAGAACATGTCCATTTTTGAGGGGGTGAGCCTTCCAACAAGTAGGGACATTCTTCAGTAAATATTATTGCAAACGAAGTGTATTTAAAAATATGGAAAAATGTAATTATGATGCACCTTAAAATTTGGCTTTTAGCCTCTGAATTAATCATGAAACTGTAAATTATTTTTGATTAATCCATCTATCTGACCAAATAAGATAGATAGTTCTAAACAATGGTGGTTTTCTCCTTTTGTTAAATAAACCAGGCCAAATTTCTTGAGGCCATTGGACAAGATTAGATTATTTTCTTGGTTTATGAATACCCAGTCTAAGACATTCTGGGCCAGATACTGACCTCTTGCACATGGTGTACATCATGAATAAAACCACTGAAGTCAATGGTATTACAGTGTAAACAGTAATTGTGATTAGAATCAAACCTCTGTATTCACACTAATGTTGTACTATGGTGAACAAAATATTGTATTCTATCATGATTTTAAAAAAATCTTATTAGCTAGCATTCAAAATATAGATAATCTATTTATCTTTCATTAGGCCCAAATTATTAATGTAGGATGTTTTGGAAACTATCAGAAATTGTCAGCAAAACATGGCACATCTGTGTGCTCTAGTCACAGAACAAAACAAAAACGGAACAAAATCTGAAATCAGTTCTTTCATTTTCTAAGCTAACATCCAGAACAGGAATAAAAGACCCAGTCTATTAGAACATACCACACAACAATTTCTTTAGATTGTATCCAAAGGAAGACTGTTCTGCATCTGTTTCCATATATATAAAGGAGACACATACCCAAATGTTATGATTTCATTAGAACTACGGGGATGCTGTTCTACAGTGATGCTCCTCTTGTAATTTTAGAAGAAGCAGTTAAATTTATGAGTGTATGTTTACTGTAAGTACTTAACAACCTCATAAATCTAATCTTAAAATTTATCAGGTTTGTTTTACACAAATATGGTAATTACATGGCTAGATATAGCTTTATTTTTTCTGTTACTTCTTGTGCAACAGATTCTTTCGATCTTGTACAATAAAATTTGCCAGTGAACAGGGCAGATAACACTCCTATTTGTTCATTAGTATTATGCTTCATATAAAGTGATGGTTGACTATACACAATATATTTTGAGACAGTTCTTTAGAGCATTTTTTCTCATTCAGTTCTGTTCATTAAAATATATGCCCTCCTCCCAAAGATTATTTGAAATGTAAGATGTAGTACAAAAGAGAAAGAAATTTCAGGGCCTGATCCTGCATGGGTTCCAAACTGGCGTTGATAGGCACTCCAGATGTAGATGCTGGGATTTTCAAAGACACCTCAGGGACTCAGGTTCCCAACTTCCACTGAAATTTAATGGGAGTTGGGCATCTACCTTCCTAAAGCATCTTTGAAGATCCTAGTGAAAATGCTTGCAGGATTGGATTCTAAATGATGTATAGGACATATATTTTGATGCTGCAAGGTGCTGATTACTCTGGTCCTGATCCAGGAAAGCACTTAAACAAACACATGACTTTCCTGAGTCAGGGCCAGACTGATAAGAACTTTACAGGATGTGGCACATATTAAGTAAAATTTAGTCAGATATTTTATGAAAAGTTACGTTTCAGGCAGGATTTTCCTCACTTTACTCAGGCAAGTAGATTCTAATCTTGCAGTGCTTAGTCATACAACCACCTTACGCTGGGACCACTGAATAAGGACTACTTGTATGGCTACAGTTTACAAGACAAGAAAGACTCTGTCTGAATCCTATTGAAGCTGACTGAGTCAGGACTGCAGGATTTGGCACTAAATGTTCTGTTAGCATACCACACAAAATTAACCATGAGAGTTCACCTGTTTTTAATCAAAGCAAACATATCAGAGCTCAAAGATAAATTAGAAAGTCATGATAAGTTTAATATGTTAAGATGAAAACAAGGTCTCTGCCCAGAGAATAAATAAATGGTTATCAAGAAACCACTAACAGTCTTTCGAAGTTAAAAAGGGTTTCACTAATAAGGTAGACAGTATAACATAAATAAAATGGCATTTCTCTCTACATTGTATAATTAAAAGCAATATACATATCATACAGAAAACTCTTCCCAAAATTAAGATGTTTGTCTAAGGAAATTTTTAAATTAAAAAAATCTGATTTTATATGAAGCAAAAGAAAACCATGATTTCTTTGATGACTTCACAGCATCTGCACTTAAATTCTATCCATAATAATGATGATGTATACAAGGGAATTCTATATTTTTAAAAGAAATACCAAGAAATTAGAATTTTTTCCCCTAATTTAAAAACAAACAATAAGGTATTAAAAAATTCCTGCCAAACGAGAACCATTCACAGGTACTTTGATTTATTTGTCTTATGATTAAAAAACTACACATCCAGTTAAGGAATGGTTTTCCCTCCCCCCGCTCATCCAAGAGGTTCAAACGGTAAGGAAATATTTTATACATAATTAAATACCATTAAATCAAATTAGAGTGTATTACATTTAACATTTTTAAAACCTTGTTTTTCAAATTAGGAGAAAACCAGAATATATTTAAGGCAACAAAGTATGAGCATTTCACCTGAAAGCAGCACAGCAGAAGAATTACAACTCCAAAGCCAAAGCAACAAATGCAAACCAATTAAAACTTTAAAAAAACTTCATGTATGAATCAAAGCAAATGATGCAGAACATATAATCTTTCAACCCATACCTGTAGACAGTGTACTACAATTGTTGCAGAAAAGCTGTAAGAACTTCCTAACACAGAAAACAAAAAGTCTGCTTCGTTTTATAGCAGCTACAGACTGCTGCAGTATCCAGTATATTTTTTTCAGTCAACTGTTACAGCCTTCCACCAGCCCCGTGACCTTTGAACTCATTTCTCCCCCCTCTGCAGTTAAAGCTACTGTGCTTGTCTCATTTACATAAGGCTGGTGAAGGCCTGCCAGCAACAAAAAGGGAATGCTGGGTAAGAAATTGTAGAGCTGCAGTTCAGCCGGAATACCTGAATCACTGGAGAGGTGGGGGTGGGGAGGAGATGGTGGAGAGAAAAAGCTATTGCCACTACATACTGATTAGTCAAAAGCATATCTCCTATTGTGATTATTAGGAGGCAGATATTTTAATTCAAGTATATTAAGCACCCACCAAAAAACAATCAGTCTGCAGCAGCTAGTTTCCAGGGTGACCAGAACAGTCAAATACTTCATTTAAATACATGTAGAAGGCTGATATGCAAGTGTCAGCAACTACCCTCTGCTTTTTTAAATATAGCTCACCAGATGTTTTATTTTTAAAAGGATCTATTTCAATATTGTATTTTGAAATTCATGAGTTTAATGCATACTCACCTTGATTCAGATGCCTTGATATGAATTAGCATCAGTTACAGATACAATAGTAAAACTGTATTAATGTAAGGAGGCAATATACAGATTGATTTACATTTATTGATCATTACTATAATTAATAATCAGCAATAAAATGACTGCTAATCCTCCCAAGTATAAATCACAATCAAATAATGTGCCAAAACTATGGATGCATGGATATTAAGTATTTTAAATTTTTAAACCATTTGAGATGTTATTTTTAGAAATACATATTTTAGTTTAAATCATTACAATTATATCAAAGAATGTAAAAATGCTGATCTGGCTTTAGGAAGAGATTCAATGTTTTATTTTCTACTTCTTTTCCTACAGACAGCATCCTCCCTATTCAAACATTCAACTTCCCTATTGCTGAAACGCTCTCTAAAAATTAGCAATTCAAATTCTTTCAGATTTGCCAGTATATGCATCTTGTGTCTTTTAAAGTGCTGGAGCAATGAGAAAAACGCTACTGTAAAATCATTTAAAAACAAAGAAGTTTTAATTTAATTTAAGACTAATCTCTAGACCACTAATGTGGCAGAGAAACTCTATATCTATACTGTGTATTAAGGTGATCATAGGCCATTAGGATCATTGGGACCGTTTTTAAAAATAAAAAGTACATCAACTATATGAATTACTAACTGAAATTAATACCTGTTTGAAAAATACAAAGTAAAATATAATCCATCTTGCTAACACTGTCTGAATTTGTTGAATGCAGTTTCATAATGAATCATTCATGTGTGTATATATACTTATATTTCTATAAGGTCCATTTTCAAGATACTCCAGAAAAAACAACGTGAAAAATCTAAGTTCATTGTTATTTATGTTCCAAAATTAATCATTTTTAAAATAAAATAAATAACAATGATGCAACACATTTCCTATCAAGAAAATATTGAGCTTGAAGACATAGAAGAATAATGGATGTTGCTATTTAATATTTTATATTTCTATACTGGCAACAGATCCATTTTAGCATTAATTTTATTTTTTACTGACTATTCATATTTCATGACTAAATGAAGTCTGATGTGGAGTTATAGTAAAAATATTTGTAGAACAAATCTGATTATAGTACTTAACCAATTTATTTAGCTAGATATCAAAATGATGTGCATCATTCAAGCCACACCTTTTCAAATGCAAAAAAAAATTATTTTTTAAAAAAGCAAACGTAGCCAAAGCACTGATTAAATTCAAAACACAGAAACATTTTAATAATCTATAAAATAACTAACCTGTTCAAATTGTTGTTTTTCCAATCCATGCACTCTTTTTATTAATTAGGAACCAAAATAGATTGATCATCATTTTATAACGTGTGACATATTCACTGTCTTCCTACTTCCAACAGAATCTTCTTAAATTTCCCAGCACTGTGTTTTATTGCTGGTACCATATGCTTTATTGTTCAGCGACAAGAGCTTCACTCTGCACAAAGACTCATTACCTACTGCTTGCTGAGCAGCTTCAGTCTCACTGAGGCTGCCTATATGATCACATGGGAGTTTTGTCTGAGAAAGCCAGGCATGCCACTGATTTCACTATCTATGGATATTTTTATCAGCTGAGGTCTACTATGAGGAAGGAATAACAAATTATAAAGCTGCTTTAACTCATTAAGGCAGCAAAAATTATGGAAATCCCCTCATAACCTTTTTTTTTCCATTACAGAAAAGGTGGAATTCAGAGGAGTTTTTAAAAGTGAATTATAATTTTTGTGGTGATAATTTGCACTATGTTATTCCTCATATAACATACATTTCTATTAATATTCTAAAGAGATAATATTCCTGTTAACTGTTATTTTATGAAAACACTTAGGCTGCCAATATGTATCCCTTTATGGAGACCAGAGCTACTGAATGATTATTTCCCCCCAAAAGAAACATCATAATTCAGACTTGTGTTACCAATCAAGGGCCTGATCTGGCAACCCTTACTCATGCAACTAGTCTGAATGATTTCAAATAGGACTACTCAGGTGAGTAAGGATTTAAGTAAAGTTTTCAGAATCAGGCCCTGAATCTAAATGATAAATTGTACTCTACCATGAAGATTTTAATCTACTTTTTATGATGATATCCAGTTGCTGTATTTTAGTTATAATTATACAAAGAAATAAAATCAATTTATTTGTGTTTGTTAACTTCCTTTGCCATTCACCTAAGGTATTTTACATGGGGCTGATAATTACATTTTAAAAAATAATGAAAGCACATACATAAAAAAGGATACATGGTTAATGACTATTCTTAACATTATTATTACAGATGATTAATTTCAGAACATTTTGAGACAGCCTAATTTCTTCTCCAAAAAGAGTGCATGAGACATTCTTATTTAAAATTTTAACACAGTGCTGGTGATAACAGAATTCCTCTCTATTTCTCTGAAAACTAGTAACTCATAAATAATTAATCATGACATTTACAGGGCAGAGGTACAGGTGTTCTATAAAAGTAGTTAATTAACTCTCGAATTATTTATTGCACTTTGAGTAAACAGGAATGCTGTTTATTCATTAACAATCTACAAATGAAAAATACCCACTTGTTATCCTTTTCAACAACTCCCTCTTTAGAATACATAATTATCAGCTTGTTGCTCATTAAGGGCCCAATCCTGTTCTCACTGAAATCAATGGAAGTTTTGTGATGTACTTCTGTGGAAATAGGACTGGACCCTATGAACACTGAGAACCATGGATCTGATCCTCCTGCCACTCAAGTCAATGAAGTCAATGGTGAAGCTCCCATTGACTTCACTGGCATCAGAAACAGGCTCATCCTGTGACAAACACACACCTGAAGTAATACAACCAAGGGGCAGTCTCTGTTTGAGTTATAATGAAAACTCAATCAGAATAATGTTTAAAGACGCAAATAAAATAACCTGGCTATCTAGTTTAATAAAAAGCTTCCACATACAGAAATTTTACTACCAAACTGATTAGCAGTTTGAAAGATAAGATTTGCTAGGATATGACCCAAATTTACTCACAACTAAAAGATTAATCTGGTGATGAATCTCGTCCAGATTCTAAACATTTATTTTCTTTAAACTCAGAATTCCATGGTCGGGAATTTTTTTTAAAATGCCACCATTCTGATATGGTCACACAACATACCTAAAGACAGTGGCTGAGCAGATGGCTCATGGCCGAGGACCCTTCAGGAGCTCTTAAGCAGGAAACACTATAGCTGTATACATTAATAAGTAGAAATGAAGGCAGACTAGACAGGTTGCTAACGAACAGCTGGTTTAGCTACAGCTATGCCTATTTTTCCCCCTGCTAATACAATTGATGATGTCATGATGCTAGTGTAGAGAGAAATAAACAAAAGGCAGACATTTTTGCTGCTGCAGCAGTAGGAAAACAGAAAAATAAAAAGGTTTACCAGACGGAGAAGAACAATAGGAAAGCAAGAAAAAGGAAAGTTATTGTCACATTTCCTGGAGACCATTACAGAAAATGGAAAAATAAAATAAAAAAAAAAAAAAAAAAAAAAAACCTAATAGGAGGTTAGAGCAAAAATTATTAAGCAACATAAACAGTTAAATAGTTTAACAAGAAAATTTTGGTTTTGCAAAGAGACAATAGCAGCAAGCTGTCTTAACCCCACACAAAATACATAACATCAGTCAACCCTTCCTGTCCCGTTCCAAAAAATGTTTTATCCCTTTATGCTCAACACTGGGATTTCTCAAAAGGTTAAATTACAATCAAGATGCTAAAAACTCTCCCTCCCACAGTAAAAATATATGAGCTGGGCAGGGCCGTCCTTAGGATTTATGTGGCCATATGCAGTATTATTAAACTGGTGACTGCGGACCCCCAGAAGACGTCCCCCCCCACCATTGCTGACACATACCGAGCTTCGTAGGCAGCAGATGCTGTGGCAGCCCAGGCTTGCAGCCTGCAGGAGAGGGCACAGGCAGCAAAGGATACCAAGCTGCCCGGCGGCGGCGAGTCACAGTTCCATACAGAGACCCCCGTACCCTCTCTCCCTCACGCAGAATGCGCCACGCTGGCGCATTCGGCTCTGTGAATACGGCCCCTGCCTAAGGAGACTGCAGCATACGCTGGGTGTGCGGGAGCCGACCCACTCTTACCTGCTGTCCCAGTGGTTCCCCAAATTTTGGGTGCCCTACGCAGCCGCGTACACCTAAGGATGGCCTTGGAGACAGGGCTAGGAAAGAGAGAGTGTCTATGAAGGCCCCCTCTTGGTTCTTGATCATTCCATTGGGGAAGTGGAGTCTGTGCCCCCACAGTAGGCATTGTGGGGGCTGCCAAACGATTCTACAGGAGGTTAGAGCTATCTGAATAGAGAACCTGTATTGGCTTTGGAGTCCTGGCATCCCTTGTCACTCC